CAATACCCGTAACCCAGCAGAAGGAAAAATGGGACCTAACTTGGAAGGGCCCTACAAAGTGGTATCTGTTGGAGGCTCCGGGTCATATAGATTAGAAGATATGGAAGGAAAATCTGTAATACGACCTTGGAACGTGATAAATCTAAAGAAATACTATTTTTGAGTATTATTTCCTTCAGTGCTCACCAACGGCTAAGTTACAAGGGTAAGGCCCTGGGGACAGAGTTCAAAGACTCCTGCCCCCGAAGGAAAAACAGGAGCAAGCCTCCTGAAAGAGTAAGGCCCTGGAGGCAGAGTTCAAGGACTCCTGCCCCCGAAGGAAAACCAGGAGCAAGCTTCCTGGGAGGGTAAGGCCCTGGAGGCAGAGTTCAAGGACTCCTGCCCCCGAAAAAAAACCAGAAGCAAGCCTCCTGAAAGGGTGAGGCCCTGGAGGCAGAGTTCAATGACTCCTGCCCCCGAAGGAAAAACAGGAACAAGTCTCATGAAAGGGTAAGGCCCTGGAGGCAGAGTTCAAGGACTCCTGCCTCCGAAGAAAAAACGGGAGCAAGCCTCCTGAAATGGCAAATCCATCAAGGCAGTCCAAGGAATACACCCCTGGGGAGGACATTACCCCGAGGGGGTACGACACAGCAATGATGAAGTTGAACCAATCGGTCGGATCAACCAGATTGTTCCCCAGGTATCCGAGTCATGGAGATATTACGTTACCACTGGTTATTACAGCATCAGTGCAAAAGAGACGATGAAATATATGTGATGAAATGGCTTCAGTAGACAATGCAAGTACTCAGAAAATAAAAAGCAGACTATTCATTTCAAAGAAAAGGGGCTTTGCGTCCCCGAAGGCTACAATGTTCAAAAAAGAAAAAAGAAAAGGAGAGAAAAATTCTTCATCTGACCCCAAGTATCTCCAACACATCGCTGAAGGCCGAATCAGCGCAAAAGGGTTGAGCAGCTTCTAGAGCTGGGAGTGAATCGGCAACAGGGAGAGTCTGAGGGATATTATGGTCAGGGGCTTGGTCCGGCAGAACCTCATCAGATAAATCCAAAATTACCGCCTCGGGCGGATCTGCCAAAACTTGCATCGGCGTCGGAGTCGCACCCTCGACAGCAATCTCTGCCTCAGCCTGCTCCATCTCCGCCGATGGCACGTATTTGTGCAGCTAGAAGAACGGGGAGTCTGGAGGGATCCCAGCAGACCGGAGCGTCTCGTCCCACCCCTTCTTGAAAAACTCCTTGCTATTTTCCTCAAGAGCAGGTAGCACGTCGTCGGCAAACTCCTCTCGGAGTTGTTCCTCGGACTTCCTGTTCTCTGCCACAGCCCTGATCCTGTCCAGCTCCTGGGTCAAGGCCAGACAGCTCTCCTCTGATCCAACAGCCCTCTCCTCGGCCGCAGAGAGTCGCTACGTCTACTCTGTGATCCTCCTCTTAGCGTCAACCAGGGCAACACTTAGCTTTTCAGTGCCGACCTTCGCCAATTCGCTGTCCTTGAGGAGTTGCTCAATCTGAGCAGCTTGCCCCGCGAGGGTGGAGTCCCTGGCAGCCACGTCCTCCTTAGTAGTGGCCAAGGCTCCTTCAACCTCTTCCTTCTGCTCCTGGGTCCGTTGGAGGTCCATCCTGGCTGCATGATACCTCGCAACAATTACGAAAATTTGTTAGGTGGCCTGCGAGGGAAAGAACTTAGTCAATTATAGGTGATGCGGCAAGAAAGGGCTGAAGCAAAGATGAACTTACCAACAGGGAATTTTGAATGATGAAGAGGAACAACGCGTTCGTTGTCCGCCCCCTGTGAGCCTACATGTCAGCCTCGAAATAGAGCGTCTCGCTCACTATGTTGGCGACATGGGGGTCCTATAAAATGGAGTCATCAACCCTGATCACTCGGTTCATGTGATCAGTGGCCCGAAGGTTCCACTCTGCAGCTTCCACCGTCTGTGGAAGGGGAGGTGGAGTCTGCCTCTGCTGCTGTTGCTGTTGTTGTTGCCTCTGTTGTTGCTGTTGCTGTTGCTGTTGGGGAGAAGGAGGTAACCGACGGCCTCTTCCGCTTTGCTGCTGGGCGGAGGGAGCCCTGGATCCCCTGCCAAGGCCGTTATGCCTTTGTTTAACCCTTCTCTCCTCCTCTACCTGAGGATCTCGGTCATGCACTTGACCCCAACCAACGACTCTTGAAGGTGGGGTGGCGATGGTCCCTATAGATGGGGCCCCGCTGGTTGATCCTCGTCCCCTTCTGGCAGCGAGGGCCTGCCTCTGCCTCAGGAATCCCAGATCTATGCGAGGCGTGTTCGACATAGCTACCTCGAGGGCGTCCTTCTCGTCTAGGGACTGCAGGATTTGGAAATCAGGCCACAAATCTCTCCCCGAAGTCCCTATTTCAGCGTACGAAGGAACAAAAGCCTCCCTGGCCCCGAACTCCTCAACTTCAACAACACCCTCTACTTCGGCCTCTGTAGCCCAGTCGCGGTCTTACTCTAAATTCTCCTCGACCTCTTGTTGCGCAGCCTGATCGAAGAGTTCAGACCACCGCGAAGGCTCGAAAGGCTGGGGAAGCTGAGAGAACTTTTTATATCCGTGAGTGTAGTTTAGAAGAATGTGAGCAGCCCGGCCGAACCCGTCGTCACCAACAAATCTCCAAACAGTGACGAGGTCGGTAAAGTTTACCAAGGACCGAGGTGGAGGAGCTGTTTCCCGAGCGGAGACGTCTACACAAAAAAAAAAAAGGAGAGGGAGTTATGAACACTTCTAAAAAATCTCAAGAACAAAATAATAGACTCGAAGAAGCCGACGTACTTGTCGTTCTCCATTCCAAAGGATATAACAGACCGTCGTATTCGGGACTGGCACACCTCTGCCAGGACCCCTTGAAGATCAGTAGGTCATCCTTGTACCCCTTGTCCGAGTCAGGAAGGTGAGTTACGAGGTACATCGATGGGTCCCTAGCTTTGAGGTAGAAGTTTTGCTGAGGCATGACCCTCAAGAAAGAGTAGCAAAAGAGGATATCGTTCAACCCAACATTTACCCCGAGACGCTTATTGAACTCTAAGACTCCCATTATTATCCTGAAGACATTGAGGCAACACTACCCGGGGAAGAGGTGAAAATGGGAGAGGAACTGTAGGAGTAGAGGGTGCAGAGGGAACCTAATTCCGCCCTCTATGATGGCTTTGGTATAAAAGGGCATCTCATCCTCGGCCCCGAGGGTACGAAAATGCACAGCCGAGTTATAATCCTCTATGTCTACATATGGGGGGATGCGATACTGGACCCTAAACCTATTAATCTGCTCGTCCCCCTTCGCTTTGTACTTCCCTGGCCTCGAGGAACTAGCCTGAGGATTCTCAGGGGCAGGGCGACGTTGGGGCATCTCCAAAGAAGATAAAAACCGAAGAGGAAGGAAAGTTTTTCCACGAAGATCCCCAAGGGGGTTTCCTGGGGTTTGGTCGCACAATGATAACCAGAAACCCCTCCGGTTACCGGGGAATAAAAAACCAAAACCCAGAAAGACGGAAAGAAGGGAGATACAAGGACTCACCAGAACGCGAACGAAGGTTTCTGAAGGACTCGGAGTGGTTCCTCTCTCCAGGAGGTTCTGAAGCGAGAGGGTGTTTGCTGGCCTAAACTCCGGTGACGACTGACTAGTAGACGACGTGACTAAAGGGGTCTCCGGCGAAGTTTTTTAGGCGAAAGCTCTCTTGAGTTCGAAATGGCAAAAGTGTGGTAAAGAGAGAGAGAGCCCATTTATATAGTACCCATCCCCATCATTAGGCGCGAAGCACGAAGAGGCACATTTAATGTGCACGACCTCCTAAGCAAGGAAAAATGGCTGAAAGCAATGATGGAGTGGTTGGGGTAGTTACAGAACCCTTCGTCTCCTTACAACGCGTGTCCTCGGCATCAGAAGATCGAAGGCTGGGGGGCAGTTGATGGGACATTTCCAGACACTCCCAGATGATGACACGTGTACTCGGCGTCAATGGAGCCTCTCGCTGTGGTACCGACACGTCTTCGTCGGTTTCTAACCCCCTGCCCCGAGGGATACTATTCACAAGGATCAAGGATCCCCAAACCACCATGGACTGGCACGTATTCCTCGGCAATTTGGGTACATCGGTCCTAAGTCATGCTAAGTCCCTCGGCACCGAGGGGTATCTGTCTGCGTGGGCGATTCTGCACATGCAGGGCCTATTGATGGACAAATCACTAGCCTAGGCAAGGCTAGACTAGCCATCATGGGCTTGTCTTACTCAAATGGTGTCAGGAGGCACAAGGAAGCAGAAGGCTCAACCAAAAGGGAATGGGCACGTGGCGTATTGTGTCAGATCAGAGACGAAAAGACCAGAATGCCCTTGCTGACAAACGACTTGGGAAAGCAAGTCTTAAATGCACCCTTCCTTTGATGAGACAACATTAAATGCGTGAGAGCTCATAAATGAAAGGTAATAAATGTACCAAAGCCTGGGTATTTAATATACCCCTGCCGAGAAGAGATCATTAAACACTCGGCAGACCGAGGAGGGAGCATTAGTTGCTCGGGGTCCCGAGCAGTAAAGAATAAGACCATTACTTATAGAGATTGGTGTGCACGCTGCCCACCCCCAATGATTACCTACTGGCTACGCTGTCAGTAATGATGAGTTTTTAAGATATAAATAATCCTCACCAACGCAGAAAAGAGGTATGCAATAAACCCTCTCTCAACCTCATACAGTGTTTTCTTCTTCCCCTCTCTCAAAACACTGACTTGATCGTCGGAGGGGATAAGTCGGAAAAACACTTCAGCGCCCTTCTAACTTATTTTTCTTTGTTCCAGGAACCTTCTTTAACCTTCCGGGATCATTCAGGCGATCCGCACAAACAATTCATCGTTCATCTCCGACCCTCACAACCTGTTCCAAGGAGCAAGATCGATCATCCGATTGACGGACGCGTGTTCACCATGGAAGAGATCTGTTCTAGTGTTTATATTGTACAAAATCCTGCTAGCACAGTAATTATACATAATTTCAAAGGATCAAGGAAGAGAGAAACCTGGGTTTTAGCAAGGACAGCAATCTATGCCGCCTTTCCTCCGAAATATCTTCAATTTTCTTCCTGAACATAAACACAAAATTTGTACCAGGACAGCAGAGAAAAAACTGGAACTGTGTAATGAACCAACGAGAGAGAACCTAATAAAACATATACATAGATACACACACAATATATATATATAGAGAGAGAGAGAGACAGAGAAAGAGAGAGTAACCAGAGATATGCGGCTGGATTGTAAGAAGAGGGATCCAGAGGAATAAGCTCCTTAGGAGGGTCAATAAATGTGACCACGTCCTGCTCGTCCAAGTACGCTATCTTTCCACTGGGTAGAACTTCGTAGTGTTGGTCATCCCACAGCGAAGTAGACAGTGACGACGTCGTATTTGGTCTCTTGCCTCCACGAATTTCCCCAGAAATCGAGTATACTGTTCTCCGTCCGTACGAATTTGGAGCTCTGAAATTTGAAAACCCTAGAAGATGGTGATACTGATAGTGTGGACGTTGATTTGGGAAGTTGAGATGGCGGTAAAGGCATGGATGGTTACTGCTGGTTGTAGCCATCATTGTTTTTCTCGAAACTTCTGAGGCTTTTGGGATGCAGAGGATGAACCGACTACAACAATTTAGAAATTGAAAGTTAGTACTCTAACGTATATTTGGAGATAAGTTCACTAACAAAATTTATAAGGGATTAAATTCATATTTAAAATTATTTGTAATAATTTAAACCTATATTTTTTTTTTTATCTAAAAAATATTTTTTCTTGAAGGAAATTAATTTTTTCTCTCTCATTTTTATCTATATCCATATATAAGTTAAGAGTTTAACTAACATTATATATATATATATAGTAACATTAAAAAAAATAATAACATTCAAATAAAAAAAAAAGTTACTATGAATTTGAACGGTGAAATTCAAATTCATGTTACTATTTTTTTTATTATATTATTGTTCATGTTATTGCTTTTGTTGAGTATGTTACTGTTCATATACTATTATTTTGGAGCATGTTACTATTTTTGTTAAACATGTTATTACTATTATTTTCTTAAATATTAATATTCAATATTATTATTATTTTTTAAATATTACTATTTTTTATATTTGAATGGTACTATTTTTTACGTTTGAATTTAAGAGAAATAATTATTGTTAAATATGTTACAATTTTTGTTAAACATGTTACTATTTTTGTTAAACATGTTAATATTTTTGTTGAACATGTTAATATTGGTATTTTTTAAAAATATTAATATTGAATGTTTTAATTTTTTTTATGTTTAAATGTTACTATTTTTTTGTATTTAAATGTATTATTTTTTGTGTCCAAATGATAAATTTTTTTTGTATTTGAATGATACTATTTTTTATTTTTAATGTTACTATATATATATATATATATATAGATAAGAGAGAGAAAAATTTTTAATGTTAGTCAAACTCTTAACCTATATATGGATATAGATAGATATGAGAGAGTAAAGATTTTAATGTTAGTCAAACTCCTAAGATTTAGGAGTTTTTAATTTTTAGTTTTATTTCACTTCTAAAGTGAAGGGATAGTATGATAAAATTGACAAAAAACAGACTTCATAACAAATAAGGGTTCGTTTGACAACGTTTACGATTTTTGATTTTCTAAAAAAATGAAAAACAAAATCAAAAAACGAAAAACGTTTTTTTCTCGTTTTTGAAAATCGTCCCTCGTTTACAAAATGATAACAGAAAAAAAAATAAAAACGGTTATTAAACGAGTTTTTTTCTTATTTTCTCTAAATATTAAAATAAAAATAAAAAACAAAAGACATAAACATTATCAAACGGAACCTAAATTTTTTTGACAGACTTAAGTCCAAACAAGTGTATAGAGAGAGACCGCCTCCAAATTTTCTATTTCTAAACTCCAAATTGAGCCGTTAAGGTAGAACCAACTTCCAAACACTTATTGGCCCAGCCCATCACACTGGTGGTTTAATCTTAATCATTGTTCTTGGGTTGGGCTAAAACTGGGCCGGTACGTGTATGTCTTTGTGTATTTTAGTGTATGCATTTATTATTATTTTTTGTGTATTAACAAAGATGTCACCACCAAGGCAGTTGCCTAATTGGCTTCAATAAAACGTGAAAGTCTTGCTATGGTGATTATGGGTTCGAGTTTGTTTGTAGTATAGTTCCGATAAATTAGATATTGCTAGAGAGATTGAATGTCCAACTTATCTTTGGTAGTGCTGTAGTAAGAAACTCAACTATCTTAAATTAGTAGTTATAACTTATATTGAATATTCTATTGCAAGTGGAAACTGACAACCTCAAATTCAGATCAAGTCTGGGCTCAATCTGTGGGTTGAGCCCAAATCATCGAAAGGCATATCAAGCTTAACTCATGGCTTCAGTTCAGTCCAAAACTCAAGAGTTCGAGAAGAGTCAATGCACGTGGAAGAATAATTATTAGAATAATCATTATTTCAGGATAGTACTTATCCCCAATTGTAGTTAGTCTCTCCAATAAACTAGTACCTTGACCCTCTCGGCATCGCCTCAATTAAGGCTCTGCGCATATAAATTGTAAACCCCTTAAACATAGGGGCAGATTTTACACAACTCACTTTGAGTGTACTATTGTTCTCTCTTTCCTTCTATCTTATATTTTCTCATTAATAGAGTTCTCAAGCCACCGTTGCCGCCTTCAATGGTTAGGTCGCTCAGACCCAACCACCTAATATTTGTCTCTTATTATTAATTATTTTATACCATACGCTCGACTTATTTGATTATGTATAAAATCACTTTTGTGCATCATCAGGAATCTCTTGAAAGGGTTGTCATGTATGGTTGTCATTGACCACCCTTTTTCCTTAAAAAAAAAATATCATGTAATTTAATGTATTAGTATATTTTAACACTATGTGTCCCTGTGTTTTCGTATATTGGTGCAAGTGTTTTTCAGATTGTGTAGATGTATGAGCTTTTAATGTATTAGTATGCATTTACATGAAGATGTGCCTTTTAATGTATTCATGTGCGTATTTGTGCGTAAATGTATGTTTAACTGTTTATCACAATATGTATTTTTAGTTTTGTTTATTAATGTGTGATCATTTTAATGTTTTTAATCATTTTATTTGCAGTTGAATGAGTTTAATCCAACTCTTTAATGACCCAACTTGTTATAGTCAATTATCAAATGGATTAACAGAATCACATTACATCCAACTTGTTACCAACCAGTCTAACCGCCCATAACTACAACCTACATATTTGTCACTTTTAACGGCAACAATTTATGGGTGGTGGGCAAAGGATGGATGGATGGTGGTAGGTAGTGGTGGTGGGGGCATGGTGGTGATGACTAGTGGGTGGTGGTGGTTGGGGGCACAAAGTGGTAAAGGTTGGTGGTGGTGGTGAACATAGGTAGTGTCATCACTATGTGTGTCTATAATCAATCATATTTGAGACTCTTGGAAGAGCTAGAGTAAGAAGTACCCAAAAGATCTAATCCAACAAAAATTTCACTATCAAATTATGGCATCAATAACGATTTTTTTTTTTGGTACTCCAAATGCATTTTTTTAATATAAAATACTGTTTATTTAAGTGTTTTTTTTTACTTTGAACATCTAAATGCATATTTAATGAAATATTTTTCTGATCAAGAACTTTTAATAAACAATTATTCAAGGAGTAGTTTTTAAGTTTCTTAGTCATCTTGAATGTCATAGTAGATAACACTATTTATCTAAGAAGCAGTCAACATAGGTAACTAAAAACAAACTTCGAAATAAAGTCCGAAAACATTATCCTAGACACTAACCGTCAAAAGTAGTATATAATTGTAAACAATTAAATCTTATTTTTTACAATCTATCTCCATCAGAGAGCGAGAAGTTTGGGGCATTGTTATGTTCTTCTACAAGCTTGGGTCACAGTGGTGTGTTTTTTTTTTAATCAAGGATGGGTGATTAGCGCAAGAAAAGGCAAACAGGGTTACATTTGTCACCTTCCCTTCATATTTTCGGAGCAAAAATCCAAACAATGTTAGGTAGAAGAATGGTCTGCAATGTTCAATTCAAAGCAATACGTCTCTCCCTCTCCACACTCAAAGCCGACACACAGGTCTTACAAGGTACAACAATGTGTGCCCATGGAATCTTCTTGTTTACAATACTTATCTCTCATCTCGCACTGCTCAATACTTTTAATGAGAGCTTACATTTCAAGTTTGCAAAAAAAAAAAAACCCGTCTCGATTAATCTCGTCTGTTATAATGGTAAGAATTCTTAGTCATTATTTTGTCTGTTATACATTTAAATAACAATGGTAAAAAAATCGTCAAAAGTGGTAAATCACTCACAAAAGTGATAAATTTTTAATTATAAAACGATCCACAAAAATTATAAAAAAACCCATTAAAATAATAAAAATTAAAAGTAAGATACTAAATTTTTTTCTTCGATATCATAGTGAAGTCCGTAATTTATTATTAAGGTGGGATTTAGAACAGNTTCTTAGTCATTATTTTGTCTGTTATACATTTAAATAACAATGGTAAAAAAATCGTCAAAAATGGTAAATCACTCACAAAAGTGATAAATTTTTAATTATAAAACGATCCACAAAAATTATAAAAAAAACCCATTAAAATAATAAAAATTAAAAGTAAGATACTAAATTTCTTTCTTCGATATCATAGTGAAGTCCGTAATTTATTATTAAGGTGGGATTTAGAACATCAATTAATTCCGATAGATGTGGTTGCAAGTGGCAATAAATAGAGACGACCATAATGGAGAAGAAGGAACATGAAATCACAGGAGAGAGGGGGTCGGGGTTGCGGGTGGGGGATGGGGTTGATTATCCTCTTTTGATTCTTTGCAACCACAATTCATGCATATAACAAGAAGAGGAGAGAAAGGGGAGAGAGGGGGGGGGGGGGGTATCAGACAGAGACAGACAAGGAGAGGACAAGAGACAAGGTGGTTAGGTGGTCTTCGTCATCCGTGTCGTGTCCCAAACGATTTACATTGTGGTTTCTCACCATCACATGTATGTACTACTACAACCTCCATTTTAGCCCCTTGGGAAACAATAAAAGTTTAAAAAAAAAAACAAATTTATCACATCACCTTAGCTCCCAAACATCGTTTGGAACCCTACGACGTGCTTCGTTTTTTAAGATGATGCCGTTTTACGGCTAACGATATTTTGAGAGAAACATCGTCTCTATAAATAACAAAAGAACTCTACCCCTACCGTCTTATGGATCTTTTGGGCTACATATAAGCACATTCTTAAAATATATAAATAAACTTAAATTTATCAAACATATTTATATGCATGTTAACAAAAAGTGAGTATTTTAAGTGTTGAGACACTTACATAGTTTTGACCTTTTAGATGAATTACCACACGGAAACCTTTCTAGAACTACAACGTCCCCACACACAACAAGAAGATGAAGACNAAACATATTTATATGCATGTTAACAAAAAGTGAGTATTTTAAGTGTTGAGACACTTATAATACACATAGTTTTGACCTTTTAGATGAATTACCACACGGAAACCTTTCTAGAACTACAACGTCCCCACACACAACAACAAGATGAAGACACACACACACACATATAGATAGATAGATGAAAAATGTTATACAATTTAAATGAAACCCAAAAATTACAACTTAAATACATATTATCAATGTGTTCTATCTAAAAAATTGATAAATCTACTCATCTAAGGGATGATATACATTTGTGTTGCATATACATTTGAATTCTATTTGGGTTGTGTAGAATTATTCTAGAGAGAGAGAAGCATATAATACTAGTTATACCATTCCCTTGTGATTTTATTGCATATACAAGGACCATCCAATCTAAAAGCATATAATACTANTATAATACTAGTTATACCATTCCCTTGTGATTTTATTGCATATACAAGGACCATCCATTCTAAAAGCACATAATACTATTTACTAGTTATTCCAAGTTTAAAAGATGGAAAGGATGCTTTGGCGTGGAGGATGAGGCCAACATGGCTTGCTTGGAAGGCAGGAATTCTCTTTGGTCCACCATGGTGAGAACTGTTATTGTGATAGTGAAGTGTATGCCATAACACCTATCAAAGTCACAGGCCCTATTCCATTGCTCTTCTCAAGCAGATCATATCAAGTGGGAAAGTGTGGGACTCACTGGTGACCACCCTTCTCTTCTAAATCTTAGGTCTAGAATTGGGCTGTGACCACATTGGTGATGATACCGTGACGCTAACTTGACTCTACAGTCCTCAATGGCTGCCGACATTATTTCTTACCTTCCCAAATTCTCCATGAAAGAGACACCAATATACTCAACGTCAGATAAAAAAAAAGGCGAAAAATGTGCAAGAGAGAGCCTTGGAACTTGACTAGCTTATGCAAATTTACAAGATTTACTAGATACAACGATCCACATACATTTGGTAAGCAAGACTTCGTAAAAGATGTAGGACACACATCATTACCCAAGAAAATTTCAGGGGCACCAAAACACCAAAGCCTCGGTGTTTCTTTAAAGACAAGATTGGCTAAGATACCAAATCACACCACCAAGGAAGAATATATACAAACGTAAAAGATGAAAAGGAACCTCTGGCCATTACACAGAATAACAGCAAACATAATCCATAGTGGTAGTAGTAGTACAGAAGTGGAAGAACAAGATCTATGACTATGAGAATTACAATATAATGTTGCTATGTCATAAATAGTCCCAGAAAAAAATCCCTAGATTTAAGGCAATCAATCAAAAAAGAAATAGGTAAAGAATTCTATAGGGCAATTTCGAGTGGAAAGAGAGGGAAAAACTCATTTGAAACGGGGGTGGGTTAACTTTTACCAGCAGCACCTGAGGCAAAGGATCGGCAGCCCAAATGGGAATGCCAATATTGATCTTGCTGCTGCTAACCGGGTTTATAGACAAATTTTCTAGTATATTCGTTTTTCCCTTTATTTTGAATTGACATATTCTTTCTTTTTTCCCTTTTCCAAGATAGACTTAGCTCACTTGTTCGCCAATTAAGTCAAGACCCACAAGGAGGAAGGACACACCTTGAAACAGCAAGAAGTAGAAATGTACTCCTTGAGCCGATAACAGGCTCCTGAGTGCAGCTGTAAGTAATAAGAAAGCCAGGGCAAGTTCTTTCTTATATATCTTGTTCGTCTTTTTCACAGGAGACTTGGGAGAAGATTCTTGATGTTCTTTCAATTTGTTGAGCTCGGAGAGGCCACTATCAGAGGCACCTCTTAGTATCTGTGGGCGATTTATGCCTTTAGATTCCCTTTCTTCTGCAGCTAGTAAATCAGGCTCTGATGCTCGACCAGCCTTTTTGGTGACAACCCATTCATATGAGCTTCCCAACTGGAACAATCCAGATACCATGGCATTGAATTTTGTCACGGACATTGTATTCTCAAATAAGAGGTAAGGGGCGATGAACGGAAAGGATCTTGGTGCAGGAAGAATGCTTAGGAATGAAATGAACACAGGAACGTAACAAATAACCCAGGCAGGTAGCTCGGCTTCTGGGACAAACATGGTTAGAGGAAGAATGATGCAGAACAACGTGAAAGAATAAAATGGGAGGATGACCTTCCTCAAGAGAAAGAATAGTAGTATTAAGTTTGCTTTCTTCCAAAATGATATCTGCAATATTATGGCAGTTAAGTGAACTTTTTTAGAGACACCTTAGTTGAAATTAGGTAAATGAAATGGAAATTTTAATAGCAACGAAGGAGAGATTGTGAGAGTGAGACCCACCTTAGATGTAATGATGGCTGGAAGGCATAAACGAAAAAGCTGCATTGGACCAGAGTGCCAACGATGTTGCTGCTTCTTGTAAGCTTCATAAGACTCGGGAACTTCACAGATGACCTGGCAATGAGTATCATCCAGGCACTATAAGTTATAGGCACATTTTCGTTGATCATATATAACCTAGCACATAGGGTAACTTTCAAATTTCACATAACTATGCCAAATGTTGATCATCATGCTCCGACTTACTCTATTCCTACACTTGATTCCAACAAGATATGCAGTTGTCTAGATTTTCTACACTGGTATTTCATACAGCCCAAATGCCAAAAAATAGCAAAAACTTTTAAGTTGGTGATAAATATGATAAATTGCTAAAAATATGTCACCTTCACATCATTAAGGAAGATGAATTTCCAACCATGAAGATGGGCACGAACAGCTATGTCCATGTCCTCTACAGTTGTCCTCTCAAGCCAACCCCCAGAATCCTCAAGCGCTTTGATTCTCCAGACACCAGCAGTCCCATTGAAACCAAAGAAATTGAGGAAGACTCCGTTAACCTGCTGTTCCACCTCAAAATGGAAGCACAAATTAATATTTTGGAGGCGTGTCAACAGATTCTCATCCTTGTTTACAAAACCCCACCTAGCCTGCACCAAGCCCAATTCAGGATTGTCCTGCAACAAGAGGTGAACAATGACTTACTTGAATAAGGCTCCCTACAAGGATGTTTAGAAACTAATTGAAACGAACTACAGGAGTACTACAAACCTTAAAATGAGGGACTGTCTGCTTAAGGAAGTCTGGATGTGGTTGAAAATCGGCATCAAATATGGCCACGAACTCATATGCCTTAACATAATCACAATTCATAGCAGACTTCAGATTCCCAGCCTTATAACCAGTTCTAACTAATCGATGCCGATATATAATGTTAACACCCCTCTGACTCCATTTGGACACCTCTCCTTTTATTAACCACTGAATGCTCTCATCACTAGAGTCATCAAGAACTTGAATTAACAACCGATCTTTAGGCCAATCAAGCTGGCATACTGCAGAAATAGATTGCTCATATACCTAAGAAAGGTCAATGCCAAGCATCACCATCACAATTGTCAAGAACTTAGAAGAATTGACATGGCATAGCCTTCAACTTTACATCATTTTCTACAGTAACTTATAACTTGAATAGTGAGCTTAAACAAACAGATCTTTTTTTCTCTGTTTTTTTTACAGGGAGGTAAAAAAACAGTTCTAATATAAAACAAAGCTATAATAGTATTAACTAATCTGATTTATGTTAAGAAACATGAAGATACTTACCTCTCTCTCATTACACATTGGAATTTGAACTAGGACCATAGGGTAATTACACACTGCACCTTCCAGATCATCTGATTTAAACACATTCCCATCAATTCTAGGCTTGATTTTCTTGTACTTGATCCAGAAGCACCCTAGACAAAGTATCATCCTGTCGGCAGACTGAATAAGGAAGAGAACAACACAGAAACGAGAAAGAGCTTGAATTGGTGGTGCAATGTAATCAACACGAAATTCCAACCAAGCAACATAGACCGTGTGGAACCATCCTTGAATCTCCAAAGTTTGTGGGATGTGCAAATTGTGGTTCTGGAAATAATGCAAACCTCTCAAGTGGGCAACAACTTCGAAGGCCAGAAATGCCATAGCAGACACTAACAATGCAAGAATTAGCCCAAATAATAACTTTCCCTTGCCTGCTTTTTCATTCTCCATTGTTACTCCTTGCCCAAAAATCAATCTTTTCTTGATGGCACCAAGCAATGCCCAGAGGAAATTTCCGAGCCACGCAAGGCAACCGACGGCTCGATGAGCCCTGAGAAACAAAACCCATGTAAATTGTTTTGCATTCTTGCCTCTGTCTTTGTCAACTGGCCTGAATGCAGCATCAGGGCCATCAATTTCTAGTAGAGAGTAATTTGGGTTCTCCATGGTCACTACCACTGGAGTTCCCTTCCTTGCATCCTTAGCCCACCACCTAGAAAAATCAACATTTGGAGCCATAGTTCTCACTTGAATGAACTCAATTCACTCACAAGAGCTAATCTATCTATGGCCAAAAACAAAACCCAAAATTTACTCAATCCAAGAGGCAAATTTCAGAACTGCAAGATGAACAAATAATATTCAAAACTGAAGACTCAAACTGAACTCACTCCCAAACCCATTGTAGGCCTGACTATATAGTCAAGAACCACCACTCAGAACTTTGAAACTACCAAAACCCAGATAGAATAAAAGAAGAAATTCACAAACCCATTTCAGGGCTAAGCAAAGAAGAACAGATCCACCAACCACAAAGCTCTAACCCCACTCAAGGACTCTTGCATTCCACAGCCAAATGCAGCAAATGAAAAGCAAGAGAAAAGAGAAGGGTGTGTGTGTGTGTGCCTGTGTGGGGCTCTCTCTCTCTCTTCCTACTGCCAAAAGGCTCTACAGGCTACCCAAGACAAGATAAGAAATTACCAATGTGGGAAAGGTTGCTTCTTGCTGCTGCAGTAGCAAAGCCCTAATCCATGTGTTGGCATATTGTCATATAAATCCAAACAAAAAAACACAAACCCTCATTTTAACTGTCCACATATTACCATGGGTTGGTTTGCTACAGAACAGATTCTGTGGGATCCAAAAAAACATTTGTAATAATTATCACAAATATAAAGAAAATAAAGTTGTAATAAACAAAGAAACACCTCACTAACAAGAAACAACCAGAGCATGTGAGAATAGAAAAGAAACCTCTATCTTGTTAAATAAAGAGCACTTTGGCTTGGGAGTTTGGGACCGTAAAGTGAGAAGGTGCAGGGCTGACAGATGATGAATTGATGAAAATGATCAAATGATTATAATAAGCTAAACCAAATTGATTAGAATAATAATGATGATTACAAAAAAGATATGATAATGGATTCAGAAAATGCATTCCCAATCCCAATTCCAAACTGGCTTGCTCATTAATACCTGAACTAGATTGTTGGCCAATCCACTATATTATAGTCTGTGCCCCTAGTAATTAATGAATATAAAAATACTTACTACAGAGTGTATAATTATATACTAAAAAATTCCTAATTATATTATAATAATACTACTGCTGGAGGTTACTAATTATTAAAAAAGCAATACATAAAGAGCTAATATGTATCTTATGAGTCCGTTTAGAGCTGATTTTTTTGAGTGCCAAACAGAAATTTAAAAAGTGAAATGAAAGAATCACAGTTAAAAAATTATTTTAAACTTTTGGAGCGATTCCAAAAAAGTCGACTTTTCCTTGAGAATTTTGGATAAGTTCAATTTTCGGTTTTTTCTTGGTATTAATAAAAGTTGTTGCACAAAAAAGTGATGAAAAAGTAGCCCAATAAGTTCAGGTTCAAACGAACTAGGCTTCTTCTTCTCATAAATCAAAAAAAAAAATTGAGTCTCCAAACCGGTCCAATGTTTCACTTAACACCTAAGAAAAAAATTAGTGAATAAAAACTGTGAGACTGATGTCTAAATCCATCTACTAAACGCAATCAATCCATAATTAGCCTAATAATCACTTTTTAAAGAAAAATGTATCAGAAAAGAGAAGTATAGTTTGGTGAGCTAAAAACATTAAAAACCATTGTAGTACATGGATTATAAACAATGATAAAAAAAATTATGAAAGTATTTGAAGAAACATTTTTGGGTTAATTGCAACGGAAATATTTTAATTACATTATTTTTATATTGAATATTGAAATATTCAATATATTTTTATATGATTCCTCAAACTGATATCGTCCATATTACTAACTGTTTTTATCATCAATTTGTCACGTAATACTTAAATATGAGCAAAAATATTATTTGGGTAGCTCGTAACAAAAAATATTGAATTTAGGTAGCTCTATAATCAAAATTTTGGTAAAATTTTGGGTAAGAACTATTCAAATTATTTTTTGTTTATATTTAAATATTATGTGATAAGTTTATGATAAAAAAATATTAATAATTTGAATGTTAAAGGGACCACATATAAACATATTTAATACTTTAACGACTAAAATTGTATAATTAAAATATTAGAGATCAAACTAAAATAAATATCATACTTTAGGCACCTCTAATATAATAAACCTAACAGTTTAATATAAGTTTTGTGATTTACGTTTGCCGAAAAGATTCTTGTCGTCTAGGCTAGAGGCCAGCTTGTAGGAAACCTGAAATTCCTATTCTGTAGAAAAAGAATCTAATCTAATAGGAATAATAAGATGAGAAATAAAAATTAGAAGGTTCTGTTTTTTTTTTTGGGGGTACAATTCCCTCTTTTAAATAACAAGCGTTTTGGCTTATCTTTGATGATATCGAAAAGAGAATTAACCGAAATGCACGCAAATTAATTTATACATTTTTGACTGTTTAACCAATAAAAAATAAACTATATTAAGTGCTTCTCAATTTTTTAATCTTTTGGGGACCTACTATTCAAGAAGAAAATATTGAATATAATGGTAATATCATGTTGTTATTATTATTATTATTATATTAGTTACAAGATGTTCAGATTTACACCGACTATTTTGTTGAACTTAACAGTTATCCACCGTGGCTTGAGTTGGTCTAGAATATGTCCCAAAGGGACAAAGGTGCGAAAAAGAATTAAACATGAGATTTTTGAGTAACCAAATGACGAGTCTAACCAATAGACCACCCCAAGGGTTGATACCACATTATTATTACTATACAGTGTTAACTTCTAATAACAAATTAATATGTAAACAAAGAAAAATATTATTTGGACCTAATTTGAGGATCTAATCTAGGTATCTAATGGTGTACAACTATTAAATTGGATGTGGGCTCCATCTAATATTGAAACTCACAACTAATTCAATGATTGTTTTGAAACTACATCATTATGTCTCTAAATTAAGTCTCCAAATAAAGTCTCTATAGCATTGTTCGTAAACAAATGGACCCTACTTAATTTGGTAAGTACCATACTCATGTACGAAAATAATTACTAAGTAGAGTTCACTTTATTCAATTATAAGTTTATTATTAAATAATGACACCCTATAATATTGATAATGTAATGTCACCGTTACGCCTATTATTTATTCAATATCCAAGGTATCTTTGAACTTGAAGTGCCAGCGAAATTTTGACAGATGTTACTAGCTTTTTACTGTCAGCCCAAGAGTAGAGTAAATAACAGCATATTCCTTGCAGCTTCCAAGCAATTGAAGAATCTTCATTTACTTCTAGTGTGGACATCTGAGATGGCCACCACATGCCATTCTCTAATATTAAAAAGCTCTTTTTTCAAACCTAATATACAAATTTTGGACTTTAAGAATATTATTTTATCTGAAAATAATAGTTTATTGTGCGAAATATTCAGGTTAGATGTATGTAATATTATTCCTATATGCAAATCAAAACTCGGATTTCAACTCGAACTAATAAAAGTTAATTATCTATTTGACCCCTGAATTATAAATATCATTTGTGTTAATCAAATTCCTGAATTTTATTTTGTGTCAATTTAACCTCAACTATACCATTTGTGTCGATGTGACCTTTCTGTCCAAATTCGTTGTTTATTTGAAC